GTAGAAACTTAATTTGCTGTAAAGTTGCTTTGCAATGATTTGTATCGTGAAAAGCGCTGTACAAATAAACTTGAATTGAATTGAATTGATAATGTGACCTAAACGAAGCATGTAGATGATGAAAAGAAAAGGCCCAAGAACAGATCCCTGAGGAACACCATGCAAGACAGAAGCAGCAGAGGACTTAGCCTGATGAACGAAAATATAGTACTGACGGTCTGACAAGTTCAGTCTCCTCGAACATCTTTCTGACACACGCCACAAACATGAACCAAAACACAGCAAATAGCCTACTTAACTGCTTTTAAAAGCTTACATTTAGATTAGTTGACGTTAAATGCATTAGTCATTTTTAAATAAATCACATCCATTTGTTAGTCTCGTTGTTATGAGAAAAAGATGAGCTGCAATAAAGGCATTAAGAATCCATACAACTGCAGCAGCGGAGGACTATTATTCTGCTGCGCGGAACTGAGGATTGATCTTCGGCTGACCAATCAGCAGAAAGGGGCGTTTAATTCCCGCCCACGTGTAGAAATCGAATATTCAAGCTGTTTATTCATTTTTCCACCCATGAACGAAAAACGAACATTTAAGCTGAATTCTCCTTTTTCGTTTTTTGGAAAAAAAACAAAAAAACGAAAAAGGAGCCGTTTTCTTATTTTTCTACTTTCAATATTAAATAAAAAAACGAATGATCGAATGATACACGGATCGTGTGTTTATTATGTTTTTGTCAAATTCTTTAAGGTTCTGTATATTGAATTGTTACATATTATTTCGTAATTGTACAACATGGTATTTTGTACATGCGACTTAGAATACAGTTAAATTTAAAATTTAAAAAAATCATTAAATTTAACAAATTTACTATCAATACAGATGCTGCATCCACTGTATACAAAAGAAAATGAGGTTTGGCATATTACCACTTAAACGTATATGTGCAAAAAAAAAAAAAAAAAAAAATTAGTCAAAACAACCAATCCTTAGCCAGGCAACAGTCACAGGATGGCAGGAAAATCTCAACAGTGGCAAAGGGAGCAAACTGCCAAATAAAACCCGAAGAAGAAGAAGAAGAAGAAGAAGAAGAAGAAGAAGCTAAACCTCGGCCAATCAGAATGAAGGACTTGTGGAATCATGGTTTGAATCATTATAAAATATATAATGCTTTAATTACATTCTTAAAAAAAATAGATCTGTTTAACAGGATTTAGAAGGGTTTCATTTTTTATTTAAAAATGTTCTATTATTATTATATAATTGTTTTTTTTTTTTTATTTAGTTCTTCCTATTCCATCAATGGTCCACACTCCAGCCCAGTAGGTGGCGGGAATGCACCTATCGTTTGCCAACCGCCATAAAACTCCAAAAGAAGAAGAAGAAGAAGGACTTGTGACAGCGTGTTGATAAATGTAGCATGTCAGTGTTCATTCCCATGATTAATGTTATGTGACTTCGGTGCATCTAATAAAGTGAACAGCATGAGGACTCTGCTGAGGCTGAAGCTGCTAATGTCAGAAGGTGAGATGAGTTCATTTTAATCAGAGTGATACACTGCTATATTAGTAATGGAATACTAACAAGTGTAGAACACCAAAACAATATGAAGTGTGTAGCAATAAACGTTTTGAACAGTAGTGTGCATCATTCTTGTCATATGATCTCACTACGTTGCAGCTCTGCGAGTATCACTCATCCTCGGGGGAAAATAAAACATTTCTTAACTTTTGGCATTCAGATCTGGTTACACATGTGTTCATATGCTACTCCGAAGCTTGTGTCAAGATAAATAAATAAATAACAATAAAAAATTAACTTTTTACCAGGGTCTACTGTATTACTGTATATTTGTAAACAGGGTCTGTATGTATTGTTTATATGCCTTTGCACTGTGTAACACATTTTTTTCTTAAAGGGATAGTTCACCCAAAAGTTTAAATTTAGTCATTATTATCGCCCTGTTGTTATGTTGTTTTATTACCTTTTTTTTCAGACCACAAAAGGACCATTTTTTTTTTTTTTTTTTAAATGTGCTGCTTATATTTATCTATATAATGGTAGTGAATAGTGACCAGAATCAGGCTTCAAAAGAAAGATGCAAAAGTGATCTGATAGGGTTTAATGAAAAATAAACCAAAATCTAATTTGGCGAACAACCCAACAATTGCTTAGCCAAACACTGGAAAATCTTAACAAGATGGTAGGATGTCTGTAGAGGAGAAGATTGGAGACTTCTGCATCTTTTAGAAAACACAGATCACAAACGTAGATACAGAACAGGCAGATGATGATATGAGTGATGATGCAGTGCTGTCTGTTGTAGTGCGGTGGACAATGTGGCAAAACAGATCCTCCTCAAACTCTTCCATCCGGAGCCTGGAGTCAAACACATCCATCCTTAAACATCTTATCTCCAAAATTACTGCCACGGGTCCAATTTCAGTAGCTGAGTACATGAGGGAGGCACTGACCAATCCAGTGGCGGTATGTATCATGTCACATTTACTTTTCATACTGTATATTATGGAACTGTTAAATTGTTTGTGTCCTTACAATTAGTGCTGGGTAAAAATATAGCTTTTCACGTGAATCGCAGACCTTATTTGAATGACTAAATGTTGGTTATTAAGATCTAAGACCTAAGATCTTTTTATATATATACTGTATATATATTTGTCTTTTTTTCTGAGAATGAATGTAAATTTTTTGGCAGCGCTGCTCGATTATGTCAAAAATCATAATCATGATTATTTGTCGTCAATATTGAAATCACAATTATCCATCACACTTGATGGGCAATATGATCAACTTTCACGAATTAGTAATTTTTAGATATCAGTGAAATTTCACAATTACCTAATAACTAACTAATGTAATAACTAATGTAAATAAAGGTTCCTCAAAACAATTATAGAAGACAAATAAAGTCAGTAATACAATAAGAGCAAAGACACTAATCACAAACAAAAAGGACATATAAATACAACAGAACAAAGATACAAATGAAATAAACAGTGCAAATGAAATTAAACAGTTTTTCAGTAAGGTCTACTAATAGTATTATTCAGGTAAGTTATAGCCTACAATGGAAATGTAGTCACATGGGGAACTGGTTCTCATTGACTAATAATTGCATTGATTATTTTGTATTTGTATGCATGGGAGATTTGTACGCACGTGTGTATTCGCATGAATTTGTTCTTAACCTTGTTCCAATGTTAGTGAATTTGGAGTATTCTAAATGAGTCATTATAAGAGGTAATTAGATAGCAAGTTCTCTTCCACCAAAGACCAACAGTCTGCTGTTATCCTTTTTTTAGGGATATTACGTGAAAAATGACATGCTTGGAGCAGGAGGTGATTTTATTACATCACCAGAGATCAGTCAGATTTTCGGTGAGGTAAGCATTGTTTTGAACAAAACGATCACTGATACTTGCAACCATATAAAAAGATTTTCTTATTTAATAAAATATATATGGTCTTCCACAGCTGTTGGGTGTCTGGTGTGTCAGTGAGTGGATGGCGGCTGGGAAATCCTGCACGTTCCAGTTAGTGGAGCTCGGACCAGGTAGAGGTTCATTGGCCAGTGACATCCTGAGGGTAAATACTCCCAATGAATATTTTTGGCTTCAGTAACACCCTGTCAGACTATGATTGTCTGGTAGAGGAAGGTGCTATAAATTGTACTAATATTGGCACCTTTGGTAAATACGAGCAAAACAGGCTGTGGAAAATGTATCATGTTGGTTGGTGTTTCATTTAATTTTCACTCACTTTTATTTAAAGTAAAATTGGGTGCCACAATGATGGCTTCTCCTATAATGCTTAATGATGTTGAAGAACACATGGCAAAGGATTTGAAAACATTCCTCCATACAGAATCTCCAGGATCTTCAGGTTCAGAGGTTCCTGCTTTTTTCTCGCTTTGTTTTTTTTTTTCACCCCATGTATATTTGTACGTTTTTCAATCATATACAAAAGCCAGTGCGATATACAGACTACATGGTTATAATCCATCTCAACAGTACTAGGGATAAAAAAGAAAACGATAATAGCAAGAGAAAAAATGAGCAAGTTTGTACACCTCTGGTGTAAAAGATTTTAAACATACACACTACACACTGACTAAAATTAAAAAAGTGAAAAAGCATAATAGGACCCCTTTAAATAATATTAAGTGTAGCGAGCCACATTCACTAGGCCATTCCAGGACCCAGTATTAGGACGGGGCCTAATAAACTAACTGTAAACTAACAAATCTATTTCATACTTATTCAGACAGAGAAGCAAGTATTTTCAGTGACAGCTCAAGTTCACTGAACATTCCTTACCTAATGAGTTTACTTAGAAAATTTGAGTACAAGTTGAGTAAGGATTTAAGTGCACTGACTGAACTCAACCCAAACAGTTTTCTTAACCAGCATGTTCACATTAATAGACAAATATGTGGAAACAGTTTGCCCTACATTTCTTAAGCATGTTTTACTTAAAGGTGTTGTTAATTCAAAAAATGTTGGGACAACAGTGGTCTGTGCATTTTTTTTTGTTAAACTGCAAGTATTGTTCAAACACTTTGTGTATCTTAAACAGGGTTTCTGCAGACATGAACAAGTTAAATTTAAGACTTTTTAAGACCTTTTTAATACCACCTTATATGAAATTTAAGACCTAAACCTGTAATGGAAATACACATTTTATTACATACATATATGTAATATTTAATGTGTATAAATTTAAAATAAAACAAAATATCATTGCTGTAATAAATGATATTTATTACTATGATATACAGTGAACTTTTCATGTCAGCAGACAATATTTCATACAAAATATCCCTGCAAAATAACTGCATCACTTAGATTTTTGGTGGAGTAAACTATTTATTCTGAAGCAATATTTTCATCAGTGTTCTGTCAGCTTTTACATACTTAAATCTGCATATTTACCTTTACAAAGGCCTATTTTTAACCTTTTTAGATGTATGCATCATCTTACATGTCAAATAATTAAATTTTTTATTACAAATGAGTCATTCATTCAACTGATTGAGTGTGTTATCATGCTGGTATCTTAAGGACTTTTGTGGACAGCTGACTCCTAAAGTTTTTGATATTCTTCATATTCTGTGTGGTGGTCAGATAGAACTTAATCTTTTCCAATAAGTTTAAATAGATTTTTACCTTTATAAAGCCATTTTTCTATAAGTGTACATCATCTTTTGAGTAAAATTCTTACATTTAATCAGTGAATTAGAATAATAAGACATTTGGGCTGTTACCAAGCAAATGAAATCAACACAGAAGCTGCATCTGAAGTGGCATTTAGATGTATTTACACACCGATTAATGCAGGACATGAATGCATTTAACCTGCAGTTACAAATGCATAAATAATGTTTTGATATATTAAACATAAAACATTGAATACTGATATTTGAAATAATTACAAAAAATGAAAAGATACTTAAAACGTGAAATTCAAACCGCCAGTAGGTGGTAGTAAGTCACTGTTAAGCGAGTCATTGCGACTGAACCGAATCATTTAAACTGATTTTTTTTTTGGTATTATTTTTGTTGGCGAAATAGTGCAAAAACAGGCAATATGGTGTCTAAAACGTAAGTCTCTTAATAAAACTTCTTGTTTATTGAACTGTTGTAAAAATAATCAATATCACATTTGTATATGGTAATTTTTGGAGAAAAAAAGGCACTCTTCCGTGTGAACTTGATTAACTATATGAAGTGGTATAAATATACACATTTTCTGCTTTCTTGAATTTGTGATCATTCTGAATGTATTTCAATAGAGATAAGCCACTTTAAGCATTTTAGAAAGTCCCGTTCAAGTTCTGCTAATCCACAAGCCTAGTGAGAGTCAAATCAAAACTTTCAAAAACACATAGCAATGTGATTCTTTTATTGAGTGAGAGTCAGTGGGTTTAATCAGTGACATTAACAGATTTACTATTCGGCGTCTTCTCCGCGACCTCCTTCCCTTGGAGTTTTTACACATAGAAAAGGCAAAAAAACATATTGCATTGTCCAGTTTTCTCTCAGAACGATGCTCTGTAGGTGTTTTGAATGTTTTTTTGCGTCGTGAGAATATTGAGCAAAATAGCTCACTTGTCATGGTGTTACTTAACTATATCATGTTATGAATAAACTAAACATTTTGAATTTTTACCTCAGTGTGTTCCTTCTGAGTTTATGTGTGCTGTCACGCTCATTTATTCTGAAGTCTCGAGACAAACGAGTGAGCCTCAGCGCGAGCTTGTATTCTGTATTCTGCTTACTGCAATTCTCTCTGATGACGCAGTAATTTACCGCGGGGAGAAAACATCTTCGGTCTGTCCAAGTCATTAGGGTCCGTCAGGTCCGAGATATTTTAGCGGTAATGAGATCAAAAATATTTAAGACCCATCGAATCCGATTTTAAGACGTTTTAAGGCCTTATATTAGGAAAACGTTATTTAAGACTTTTTAAGGACCCGCGGACACCCTGTTAAATATAACCGAACGAATAAAAAAATTAAACTAAAACATCAGCTTAGCCAAATAGCTATTAGACATCACTGCTACACAGTTACTGCTTTTTAAATGAAGTAACTTGCAGCATATTATCATAATTCTCCTGGACTGAAGCACAGGCTCTACACTTCAGCACAGTGGTAGGCCTGTCGCAATAATCAATATATCGACTTATCGCGCAATATATGTACATGACCTCAATACATTTCGGTGACGCAGTATATCGCCCATTATGTTTACTTCAAACATGAATGTCACCATGTTTTTTTACATTCCACTTGAACCAGTGTCTTTTGCAGCTTCTCGTACATGTGGTGTAGTCATGAGGTGCTCGTTCAAATTAAAAAATGCTTCTACAAAGAAGTTTCATCTGAAGATATGGCCTTGTTTAGGGATCTGTGCCTTTTTGCATACGGACATCTGACTGATAAGTACTAGTGATTGTGTTTTTCAGCAATAGTGTGCACACTTCATTTACAGAGAAAAGAAGGTTCGGGAAAAATCTGTAGATGGAAAAATCTCCATAAAAGTGCATTTTTCTTTTTTTTGTACTTGTTACTTTGCACTTTTTGTTAGAAAATGTTTATTTACTATTTATTCAAGTTTAAGGTATCTAATATTTTGATACTTAATTTCCATGATCTAAATATTCCAAAAAATTAAAAGTTTGTTGTCATTTGGAAGTGTGTAGGCCTTCTCGCATTATTATGCTGTTACATTATGATTATATATTCAGTGGCATAAAATGGTCTTTAAAATGACAATAATATCGCTTATCGCAATTATTTCTGGGGCAATATATCGCACAACAAAAAGCTGTTATCGTGACAGGCCTACACAGTGGTACTGGTAACCTCATAAAACTCAACAGAAACCTTAAAGTTTTTTTTTTTAAACTTTCTTAATTAAGTCAGTTAAATTTTAGATGCACAAAGTATTTGAACAGTATCTGCAGTTTAATAAATATAATTATTACACGGCTCTCTGAATACTTGATTCTGACACACTTACATGAATCGGTATGTTTTCTAATACAATCATGAATTTATAAAAACCTAAAGAAGTTTTATTTAGGTAGATCATACATATTCTGAAGCTAAGAAATGATTCATCCCTTAGATAACAGATAACTTTGTTTTCATACTAATAAAACATTGTCATTTAAACCAGAATAAAATGCATGATTAATACTTTTGCATCTGGACAGATAACTTACAGTTGTTGGAATCATCTCATTGTACCTGGTTAAGACACGATGAGGATAAACTGCAAAAAGGTTTTTCACAGCAAGGTTTTGCTCATATGTACCAAAAGTGACTATTAGTGGAGGGTGCTGTATAATGTATTGCATATCCCCCAAAATGTGGTTGCTGTGCCATTGTTCACAGAAATATTACACGCAAACAACACTGAATACAATATAGAGTATCAAAAGGAATGCATTATGCACTTGGGGATAAATGTGGGGATACTTTGAATTTCATATGAACAAGTGTGGTGGTCATATGTGACAGGTCTTCAGTCAGTTGAAAGCTGTTCTGGGTGAGACGGATATCTCTGTTCATCTTGTGGAGGTCAGCCCAAAGTTGAGCCAATTTCAGGCCGAATGTCTAACTGGAGATAAGACGCAGACATGTAATGATGATCAGCTTGCTTACCGCAGTGGCACCACACGTACTGGACTGCCTATATACTGGTACCGCAGGATAGAGGACGTCCCAAGGGGTACGGATGCATCAGTTTGACATGCAGTCACACACACTCTCTCCTTGATGAGAAATGAAGCTCTTAGTTTGTTGTAACCAAAGTCTGTTTTCCTTTGCCAGGTTTTAGTGTCTTCCTTGCCCATGAGTTTTTTGATGCTTTACCCATTCACAAGTTTCAGGTAAACCGGACTGTAAAATTCAGTATTCACATGAAAAAAAAAAAATATCGCAATTATTTCTGGGGCAATATATCGCACAACAAAAAGCTGTTATCGTGACAGGCCTACACAGTGGTACTGGTAACCTCATAAAACTCAACAGAAACCTTATTTTTGTTAGAAAATGTTTATTTACTATTTATTCAAGTTTAAGGTATCTAATATTTTGATACTTAATTTCCATGATCTAAATATTCCAAAAAATTAAAAGTTTGTTGTCATTTGGAAGTGTGTAGGCCTTCTTGCATTATTATGCTGTTACATTATGATTATATATTCAGTGGCATAAAATGGTCTTTAAAATGACAATAATATCGCTTATCGCAATTATTTCTGGGGCAATATATCGCACAACAAAAAGTTGTTATCGTGACAGGCCTACACAGTGGTACTGGTAACCTCATAAAACTCAACAGAAACCTTCAAGTTTTTTTTTTTAAACTTTCTTAATTAAGTCAGTTAAATTTTAGATGCACAAAGTATTTGAACAGTATCTGCAGTTTAATAAATATAATTATTACACGGCTCTCTGAATACTTGATTCTGACACACTTACATGAATCGGTATGTTTTCTAATACAATCATGAATTTATAAAAACCTAAAGAAGTTTTATTTAGGTAGATCATACATATTCTGAAGCTAAGAAATGATTCATCCCTTAGATAACAGATAACTTTGTTTTCATACTAATAAAACATTGTCATTTAAACCAGAATAAAATGCATGATTAATACTTTTGCATCTGGACAGATAAATTACAGTTGTTGGAATCATCTCATTGTACCTGGTTAAGACACGATGAGGATAAACTGCAAAAAGGTTTTTCACAGCAAGGTTTTGCTCATATGTACCAAAAGTGACTATTAGTGGAGGGTGCTGTATAATGTATTGCATATCCCCCAAAATGTGGTTGCTGTGCCATTGTTCACAGAAATATTACACGCAAACAACACTGAATACAATATAGAGTATCAAAAGGAATGCATTATGCACTTGGGGATAAATGTGGGGATACTTTGAATTTCATATGAACAAGTGTGGTGGTCATATGTGACAGGTCTTCAGTCAGTTGAAAGCTGTTCTGGGTGAGACGGATATCTCTGTTCATCTTGTGGAGGTCAGCCCAAAGTTGAGCCAATTTCAGGCCGAATGTCTAACTGGAGATAAGACGCAGACATGTAATGATGATCAGCTTGCTTACCGCAGTGGCACCACACGTACTGGACTGCCTATATACTGGTACCGCAGGATAGAGGACGTCCCAAGGGGTACGGATGCATCAGTTTGACATGCAGTCACACACACTCTCTCCTTGATGAGAAATGAAGCTCTTAGTTTGTTGTAACCAAAGTCTGTTTTCCTTTGCCAGGTTTTAGTGTCTTCCTTGCCCATGAGTTTTTTGATGCTTTACCCATTCACAAGTTTCAGGTAAACCGGACTGTAAAATTCAGTATTCACATGAAAAAAAAAAAAATACTAAGGATAAATGAACTTTAAATAATTTTTCAAACATTTAATTTAAATAAACCTTAGCATTACCTTAGATGCTAAAATGACTTTTGCTTTTAGAGAACAGAGAAAGGCTGGCGGGAGGTGATGGTTGATATTGATCCTGAAAGTCCAGAAAAACTGAGATTTGTGGTTTCTCACAGTCCTACACTGGCCTCCAGCATTCTTATACAGGTGAGTTCTCCCTCTTTTGCTGAGAACATTTGTCACAGGCAGCATATGGGAAGAAATGCAAGTTCATTTTCCAATTTTATTTCTATAGTACATTTAAAAACAACAGCAATTAACCTGAATGCTTTCCAAATAGTAAGGTTAATAAGAAATGTAAAATAAAAATATATAAAATAATATATATAAATAAATAGCAAATATGTACATTCACACAACACTTCAACAACAATTAACGTATCGTAATGGTGTAGTTTCAGCATCTGCCGGCTAAAGAGGTGACACCGGCCAGCCAATTCCTGACCCCCTGAAGTGGCATAACCATAGATATGTATACATAGATGCCTCATTAGCGGCTGTTTCTATGGGCCGCTATATGTAAGTCTGCCATATTGGAATGGTCAAAGCAGGTCCATAAACATTTGCGTCAAAAGCAAGTTGACTGTGCTTCTGCAACCATAGTTATACACATGTATGAATATCTGTATCTGCAATCTGTTCAGCAGATGATTTCGCTAAACTAACACAACAAATCTTGACGGGTTTAACCAAAGGTTACGCAATGTTTGGCATCTTGGAAAACTCATTGATTTCTACTGTGAATAACGACATGTTGACCGTTCCAAAATGGTGGATGCGCCAATGTGTCTGGAGCAGTCGAATTTGGAATCTACCTATGTGTGTAAACATGTTATGTTACAAAAAAAAAAAAAATCAGCTAATTAACCTTTTTATGAAATGGTTAGTTCAGGTTGTCGGGAGGTAAAACTACAGAGAATGTAACGGAATTCAGGATTCAAAAATCCGTTTAAAAAAAACTTGGGTGTGTTTTGAACTGTTTTGAAAAAGTTTCTCAGTTTCATTATCTTGGACATCCTTGTTTTTCACTCAGTCCTGTAAATTATTCTTTTTAGAATGATGATCGCAGACAGCATGTGGAAGTATGTCCAGAAGGTGGAGTCATTGTTCAGAAACTGGCCAATCGGATTGCAGAGGACGGAGGTTCAGCCTTGGTTGTAGACTATGGACATGATGGAACAAAAACTGATACTTTCAGAGTAAGTGCCGTGAATGCCATCTCTCTCAGGCTTTGTCTTATGAGCTCATTGCTGGTTGATAGTTGATAGCTGAAGTGTTCTTATCACATCAGGACCTGATTCTGTGATCCAACTGCACCAAAATTGCGTTCAAAAACAAATCACAAATGAAAAAGACTACAATAAGCCTACAAAGTTAATTTAAAATGCCAGGATTACATAAAACTGCACATTTGTCATGTTCGTTGTACGAACTTTCAGTGTCCTGCCAAAAAATGTTATTACACTTCATCTGCATCAACCCAATGAGCTTGATCACATCCTGAGCAAATGGTCATCAACCACCAGTAGGGTGTCTGAACTTCATTAGAGAAGGTAAATTGTAACTGTATATAAGGTTTGAGTTTAGGACGTTCATTCCGACTGTTGAACCCAAGGTGCCTCTTGTACACTACTTTGTCTGTAAGTACTTCTTTGTTGAGATCTTCAATATTCTCATCATTTTTTCTTACACCGTAGACACAGAAGAACTGGCCACTTTCACATGGTAGCAGAATACTGTCAGTCCTGTATTTGAGTCCTTAATAGTTACATTACACACAGCGCAGTTATTTATGGGATTGACAACTGCATACTTATTGTACATTTTTAGTCACAACCGCATTCTCAGAAAACCTGCTGCAGCCCCTGTGATATTGTGAAGTTACAATCTCACAGAATATGCAAAAAAAGGGGGCATGGCCAGGTTGAGCTGCGCTAGAGAAGACAAAGAACAAGAGCTGCTTTAGCAGCGTTTTGTTACCATGGCGAACAGACACTGTTTTTTTCCACCCCGGTTCCAAAACCGTTGTTTGGCCTTCCTAATACTGACAAACTTATTTTTAACACTGACTCTGAACATTATAACCCCAACATTTATCTGTGTGCTGCACATTTTACAGAGGACAGCTTCCAGAACAGCTTCTCCTGCAGCTGTACAAAAGTTTTATTACAGCTTAGGTAATACTGTTGTAATGAATAATACTACACTGAATACATATCATCACTGCCCTTTTCCTATATACAGTAACTGCAGTTACTTATAAATAGTGTATAACATTATATCTAAAATATATAAGAAAAAAATAAATAACATACCATTCTGAAACAACCTGTAAAACCCGTGCTTGCAAAGGTTCTGAATGATCCTCTTGTTCGTAAGCTTTCTCAGGGTCTGAATGGAGCTCGAACTGGCAGATGAAACTCGTGGTTATGGTAAGGGGCGTGACATTTCTGGAACTTGCTCTAAGTGGTTCGCCAATCACAACGCACTGGGCCAGCTAACCAGTCAAAGCACATTTCATACAGGAACTGAACAGGGTGTTTGAGACAGACTGGGAAGAGAGGGGCTGCAATAATGTAAAATGTGTGAAAATAATGCGTTTTTGGAACAATCAAGCATGAAAACCTATTGTAGTACACCCCCAAAACCAAATCAATTCTGATAATTAGTATTTTAAATTAAATTTATTTCATTAAAAAAGTATGACTTTCAATTTCAGATATAAATTAATTTAATAATAATTTAATAATTTTATACTTGGAATAAAAAAAATCGAGACTGGCATTGGTAGTGCTTAGTAAAAAGATGGCAGAAAACAATATTTAAAGGGGTCATATGATGCTATTTTAAAGATCATTATTTTCCTGGCAGTCAGGTATTGTTTATCATCTCCTTATATTTGATGGAGTCTGTGATACCATGTATCCTAAAAAGCTGTTCAGGGCCTTTGGAAGAAAAACAGTCACATAACATTTAAGTTCTACCACCATGCTTCACAGTAAGGATGAGATGCTTTTCTGCATGATCATCTTTCTGTCTACACCAAACCTAAAGAAAACCTGTATTTTTGTCTCATCTGACCGTAGAACCTGGCCCAGTTGAATGTTCCGGTAATATTTGACAAACTGTATTCACTTGATTTTGTTGTCAGTGATGACAGCAAAGGCTTTTTAATGACCCAAATAACATCTGCAGTTCTTCTTGGCCACTCAAACCATCCTCTTCACTGCGTGTGGGGTCAGTATAGATGCACATCCTCTTCCAGGATAATTGTTACCATTGACATCCATTTCACAAATGTTGGCCCAAAAAGCAACCACTGATGTGTTTTCTGAAATTTGGGTTAGGCAGTCACCATGTTTTATTGTTAAAGGGGTCATAGGATGCCCATTTTCCACAAGTTGGTATGATTCTTTAGGGTCTTAATGAAAAGTCTGTAACATAGTTTGGTTAAAATTTCTCAACGGTAGTGTAAAAAACACCTTTTTTACCCTGTCAAAAACAGCTCTTTTCAGAGCACGCAGTTTTTGTCCTTTTCCTTTAAATGTTAATGAGCTCTGCTGACCCCGCCCCTCTCTTCCGAGTCGTTCTCAGCGAGACTGTTTACTTTAGCCGCATTCATTGTGAAACTTGCTAATTAGCACATTATTAGTAAAGGCGATTTGCAAAGATTCATTACAAAACATTATACTCGCTTCTTCTGTAGATGAGGCTGGATCATGAATGATTCGCGCGAACATAGACGCATTTATGTAGATCGGGGGCGCATTCCCTTCAGAAACAAATAATCCACTGCCTGTTCAGCGGCTCAGATGTCGGGAGTAAACGACGACTGCTATGTTCATTATTACATCCAATAACAGAAC